CTCGGGGCCACAGCAGCGGGCGGCAGGCCTGCCCCTCGCCTGGCCAGCACGTGGCTCACCTTGCTGCCTGAGCTGCTCGAGGTAGAGTTTGGCCAAGCGCAGCTTCTTCTCCTGGGCAGTCTCCTCCAGCTCCTCCTCCTCCTCCTCCTCCTCTCTTCTCCTTGGAGCCAGGCTGTGGGCGGGAGGGCGCTGGGTCTGAGGGGCTCAGCATCCGGGCCACCTTGATGCCCTCCCTGCCAGCCCACAGGGCCGGTGGTGCCACGTGCAGAAGACTGAAGGAAGCGACTGACCAGACGGCACCAGACGGGAGGGCCCCTCTCGGAACCCAGCACCAAGGAGAGTAGCGGAAAATCTCTCCTCTCTGGGGCGGAGAGAAGCTTCTACAGGCTTCCCAGAGAAATCAGGCCACACACAAAGGGTCAGCCATCAAAACGGCTTCAGCCTTCTGCACAGCCACAAGACCGAGACGAGGAGCGTCGCGCACAGCAACAGAGAGACACGCTCAGCCCCGCATTGCCGGGCCCCGTCATGCCAGGCTGGGGAACGCCCCGCCGACAAGGATGCTGTCAGACTGCGAGGTGTCCTCCGTCCTCCTTTTGGGAGACAGGGGATGTGCTCCCCAAGCAAGGAGGTGTGGCATGGAGGCGGGGGGGGGGGGGGGCGGGGACAACACACAGGCCATCCCTGGGCGACATCTCCCAGACCAGGCAGTGGCCTCAGGCCCAGATCCCAGGGCCCACGACGCACTGCCACGTGCCATTTTTCATCCCGAGGACAAGGGTCCAGGTGAGTCCTAGCTGGCTGGCACTTGGCCTGGCGCTGCTGGAGTTCGTGTTGTCCCCCTCACGCCCCAGTCCCTGGGCCGGCGGAAGACCCGAGCTTCACTCACACACAGGTCCTACTTTGACCTGATTCTGGAAGCTGGAAGACATCCTGGGGACCACGTCCTCTGCGCACAGACCTGCACGTACCCGTCACTCATGACCTCACTCCCGCCCCAGAAGGGACCTCGCAAACTCTCAGGACAGCCAAGGCCAGACCACGCCCCAGATGCCGGGTATCCAGCCTGCCTTTGACCTCTCCCCTGTACAGCCAAGGTCGGGACTTCTACCCAGCAGCCCCAAACGCACTATTCTTGTTCAGGGATTCACGCATGGGAGGCAGAACTCTAAAGGAAAGCAAGGGAAAGACACACTGCAGATTCCATTCACGGGGCATTCGGATAAGACAAAACTCGGGACAGCGGTTAGCGGGGGCCGGGGGTGATGAAATCCACCAGCATCTTCATGATGGCAGCAGCGACACGACCGCGTGTGCCGTCAGAACTCAGAGTTCACTGAGAAAGGTGGGTGTCACTGCATACACATTACACCCAAATGGGGCCTTTAAAACTCTTTTATAATAAAAGAAGAAAACAAATGATTAAGCCAAGTCAGAAATGACAGCTGGGGCTTGTATGTTTCTGCAAATGTTCTAGTTCTGAACCTAAATGGTAGATGCACAGGATTCCAACGCTTTATCATTTCTCTCTCCAACACAAATACACTCTTCTGTATTAACACATTCCACAGTACATCTTTCTTTTTTTTTTTTTTAAAGATTCATTTATTTTACTTGAAAGAGTTACAGAGAGGCAGAGGCAGAGGCAAAAGAGAGAGAGACAAAGGTCTACCATCTGCTGGTTCACTTCCCAAATGGCCACAATGGCTGGGGATGAACCAATCCCAAGCCAGGAGGTTTTTCCAAGTCTCCCATATGGGTACAGGGGCCCAAGGACTTGGGCCATCTTCTGCTGCTTTCCCAGGCCACAGCAGAGAGCTAGATCAGAAGTGGAGCAGCCAGGATGTGAACTGGGGCACATATGGGATGCCAGCACAGCAGACAGTGGCTCTACCCACTATGCCACAGCACCAGCCCCCACAGTACAACTTTTAAAAATACTAGAGGGGGGCCAGCGCTGCGGCTCACTAGGCTAATCCTCTACCTTGCAGCACCGGCACATGGGGCGCCGGATTCTGTCCCGGTTGCCCCTCTTCCAGGCCAGCTCTCTGCTGTGGCCCAGGAGGGCAGTGGAGGATGGCCCAAGTGCTTGGGCCCTGCATCTGCATGGGAGACCAGGAGGAAGCACCTGGCTACTGGCTTCGGATCGGCGCAGCACGCTGGCCATAGTGGCCATTTAGGGGGTGAACCAACAGAAAAGGAAGACCTTTCTCTCTGTCTCTCTCTTTCTCACTGTCTAACTCTGCCTGTCAAAAAAAAAAAAAAAAAAAAGAAAGAAAGAAAAAAGAAAAGAAAGAAAGAAAAAAGAAAAGAAAGAAAGAAAAAAAAAATACTAGAGGGGCCGTATTTAAAAATACTGGAGTGCCCTGGATGCTCCTCTTCCAATCCAGCTCCCTGCTATGGCCTGGGAAAGCAAGAGATGGCCCAAGTGCTTGGGTCCCTGCACCTGTTTGGGAGATCTGGAAGAAGCTCCTGGGTCCGGGCTTTGGATCAGCCCAATCCCAGCCCCTGCAGGGATTTAAAGAGTGAACCAGCAGATGGAAGACTTCTCTCTCTCCACATCTGCCTCTGCCTCTTGTAACTCTTTCAAATAAATAAACCTTTAAAAAATAAGAGGACTAATTAAAAAAAAAATACAAAGACACGCACGGGGGACAGGCATTGTGGCACAGTGGGTTAAGCGGCTGCCTGCAGTGCAGGCATCCCACATGGGCACCAACTGAGTCCCAGCTACTCCACTTCCCATCCAGATCCCTGTCAACATTCCTGGGAAAGTCCTTGGGCCCCTGCCAGCCACGTGCAGACCCGGATGGAGCTCCAGGCTCCTGGCTTTGGACTAGCCTAACCCTGGTCATTGTGGCCACTTGATGAGTGAGCCAGCAGGTGGACAGAAGATCTCTCTACTTCTCTCTCTGTAACTCTTCCTTTCAAACAAATAAATAAATCTTAGAAAGAAAAGCACAGTAAGCTTTCCTGGGAACACGTACTCAATTTCAGAAGCAGACTTTCTAAATCCCACTCAGCAGGAAGGCACCAGGAGCCCCTGGTGCGGCCGTCTGCAGCACCCGCAACACAGCAACCACCCCAACACCTGCGGAGGAGGGGGCTTCCAGCGCCTCCCTGCCTGGATTCTCCCACCGCCCTCTCCACACTCCCGTTCTGCCCCCAGGGTTTTCTCCAAGCCCAGAACAAGAGACTCCTCCTCCTCTCCCAGGCCCTACTTAAAAGTCCTTCCTCTGCTCCCAGAACACAAGGCGGGAAGACACTGGTCCCCTCTTCACCTGTCTGCTCAGCTCCATACCCCGAGCAGCGACGCCAGTGCCTGGCTTGTTAAGGGTCAAGACAGACGAGAAACTGTGAAACTGTGAAAAACACAATCAAGAACCACCGAGCACTCCCCGGGCCTGTCAGTCCAGCCCTGCACTGAACTCCCTGCCATGCATCGGGGAGGCGTCTCCCTGAGCCCTGGGGTCCTCTCCACAGGGACCCCTCAAAAAAGACGGCACTTCAGAGGGTCAGAAATCGGAGGCGCAGCTCTCCCTGGGCTCACTGAGTCTCCCGCACACCGCGGGCCTCAGTTTCCCCTTCCGCTCACCTCTCGCTCTCGGAGTCGCTGGAGATCTCCTCATTCATCTTGCCTCCACCTTTGGACTTGCCCCTGTCCCCCGCAGAGTCTGCCTGGGAATTACAGGACCCTTTCTTTGGTCTGCGGTCCCGAACACCCCGGCACTGACCAAGGGCGCCTCCGGTCCCTCTAACGGCCCGGGACTGGGGAAGGCGTTGCCTCCCGTCCCTGGTCAAGCGCCAGGGTTTCCAGGACTCGGGCCGATAAGGGAAGGACGAGGCTGATTCCGGCCAGGGTCCTGCGCGAAGGGCTGGGGAGGGGCCCGGGTTCGCGTCCCCCGGATGGGACGACTGCTGAGCTGTCCCGGTAGCCGGACGGACCGCAGCTCACCTTTCGGCGTCTTTTGCCGGGGCCAGCACCGGCTCCGCTCCCCAACGCAGACTTTCCCCGCTTCCGAGACGCCGCTGTTGCCGACATGCTGCCTGCCGTGTGTGTTCCAGCGCCCGCTAGAGAACTCACGTGGCAGCTAAGCCCCGGCCTCGCCGCAACACCCGGAGCCTTCATAGGCTTCCACTGTTCGGCAGGCCACGCCCCCCGCGGGGTCCATTGGGCCTTTTGGCCGCTTTGCCACGCCCCTGAGCGCCATTGGATATATCGCTGTGGCCACGCCTCCGAGAGAGCCTATAGCTTCCCGCTCCTGGCTTGAGTAGGAAGCACGCCTGTCCCCGGAGCTTCCGGCCTGAGGCCGGGGAGCATGCGCTCTTCAGCTGGCTGATTTCTCAAGAGGGGGTCGAACCAGAAGCGCTGTCTCTGCGTCCTCTGACCGCTTGGGGGCGCCAGAGATGCGGGATTCCGCGTTCTGGAGCGTGACTCCTCCCTGTTTGGGGTAAACTAATCCGGCGTTAAACTAGTGGGGATCCAAGCAGCCCTAGAGAGACAGTGCCCAAGGTCACTGGGCAGCCGGTGAACACGTGCCGCAGGTCCCAGGCCAGATGAGCAACGCCAAGGCTGCATCAGACCCGTGAGCCTTGGATGTGTCTAGATCAGTGTCCACCCATCTGCAGGAGAGGCCAGAGACCCGAGCCAGCCCCAGGCTCTGATTCATCCCCCTTGTGGCCAAATAGTTGGCATTCTACCCTCCGCCCAGTTCTTCCCCTCTTGTGACTGTTGGGAAGTCTCTGGCTGAGTCATGTCTCAGCTCCTCAAGGGCCACTTAGAAGTGTTCACAGACCTGTGACTGCCTGAGAGAGCCTGCAGCCACCTCCCCCTGTCCCTGCCTCTCTTAGGTGAGTGCCTTGTGGGCCTGCCCACAGGCCTGGGCAGGGCAGGGGTGGGCAGGGCAGGGGTGGAGTAGGACCTGCTTCTGCCCTGCGACAGTGCCAGGCCCCTGATCGAAACCCAAGAATTCTTGACTCCTCGGGTAAGAGGCTTCTGGACCACTGGTCCCAAGCTCTGGGGGACAGATCTGGCCTCAGGAGAGCTGCCCCCTAGAGGCGCTGCCCACCTCCCCACCCCTCCATAGCTCTGGTGAAAGCCCAGCTGGTGGCCAGGGGGAGGGGCAGCCGGTACCCAGACGGTGCTGTGATCCGGGAAGAACCAAGTGGGAGGGAGAGACTTTCACTTTCCCTTTGGCCTCAGGCGCTGTCGGGAAGCTGGGCGGGGGGGGGGGGGGGGGGGCAGCTGCCTCCCTGATGCTGACCAGAGTGGGTGGGCGGGACAGGGCCCTGAGCCTGCACTTGTGCCTGGGAAAGGGGCTATCTGAGGTGCAGAGGCTCGGATGGGATGGGCACAGTGAAGCAGAGAGGGAAGCGGTGGGGGCTCCAGGATGGGGCACGGTAGTGCCATGAGGCCAGGCACCGGGCGGCAGCCAGGGAGGCCTGAGGGTGCCTGCTGTGGCCCAGGACTGTCATATGGCTCCAAAGCGCAAGCCCCCGCCACAGCCTGCAGGCCCCCAGAAGAAGGGGCGCCCGGAGGCAGGCGAGGAAGACAGCTTCCGCTCCACCGCCGAGGCCCTCAGGGCCGCGCCCACAGAGAAGCGCGTGATCCGCGTGGACCCCACCTGTCCACTCCGCCACAACCCCGGGACCCAGGTGAGCCACAGTCCCAGACGCCAGGCTGCCACTTGCTCCCTCCTAAGCACAAACCCTCTCCCCGGGGGAGCCCAGTTCTGCCCTGTGGCTCAAGGCCCCTCAGGGAGCCCCAGAGCCAGGCCATGTCCCCCCGCCCCGAGGTCAGGGCTGTCCCCCATGGGTCCAGTAGGTCACGTGTGCCTGCAGAGCCCCGGCAGGCTCCCCAGGGCCCAGCCACATCCGTCCAGCACTCCCCCAACCCCCACGCCGGGCTTGAGCCTTGTCCTCAGGACTCTGTCCTCTCGGCCAGCACCATGCCCGCCCCATCCGGCCCTTCCTGGACAGACCCTTCTCTGACGCCCAGTGTGGCTGGTCCTTCTGTCCCCATCAGGGCCCACCAGCAGCCCCCACCCCCTCTCGCAGGTGCACGAGGACTACGATTGCACCCTGAACCAGACCAACATCGGGAGCAACAACAACAAGTTCTACATCATGCAGCTGCTGCAGGAGGACGCTGGCTTCGCCTGCTGGAACCGCTGGGGCCGCGTGGTGAGCCGGGGCCACCCCACCCCCACCCCCGCCTTCCTGCCCAGGTCCCCAGGAGGCCATAGCAGCTGCCTGTCCCTGCCTCCCCCTCCAGCCGTCCAGGGCGTGCGCAGCACCAGCCCTCAAGGCTGTCGGTTGCAGGGCGAGACGGACCAGTCGAAGATCAGCCACTTCGAAAGCCTGGCAGATGCCAAGAAGGACTTTGAGAAGAAGTTTCGGGAGAAGACCAAGAACCACTGGGCGGACCGGGACCGCTTTGTGGCCCACCCCGGCAAGTACACGCTCATCGAAGTGCAGGGAGAGGACGAGGCCCAGGAGGCCGTGGTGAAGGTGACGGCCGGGGAGGGCAGGGGGAGGGGCCTGGCTGGGCTCTGTCCCAGACCCGGCCGGTCTGTCCGAGGCCGTGCCCTGCTCCGAGTACGGCCCTGCCCTGCCGCTCCTGCCCACCATGTCCCTCTTCCCAGGTGGATGGAGGCCCAGCGAGGCCCGGGGCTAAGCAGGTGCAGCCCTGCTCCCTGGACCCCGCCACGCAGCAGCTCATCACCAACATCTTCAGCAAGGACATGTTCAAGGACAGCATGGCCCTCATGAACCTGGGTGAGGGGCCAGGGGCCGGGGGGGGGGGGTGGCCAGGGGCCGGGCGGGGCAGGACTGAGGGTCTCCACGCCCTGGCCCCTAGATGTGAAGAAGATGCCCCTGGGAAAGCTGAGCAAGCAGCAGATCGCGCGCGGCTTCGAGGCCTTGGAGGCCCTGGAGGCGGCCCTGAAGGACCCCGGGGACTGCGGCCGGAGCCTGGAGGAGCTGTCCTCCCACTTCTACACCGTCATCCCGCACAACTTCGGCCGTAGCCGGCCCCCTCCCATCAACTCACCGGAGCTGCTGCGGACCAAGAAGGACATGCTTCTGGTGAGGGCGTGGCAGGGGCCACGGGGCAGCAGGCCAGGGGGTGGGGGGACTGCGGGGAAGGCCTACCAGACAGATGGGGTGAGAGTGGCAGGGGCACACACGGGCGGGGTGGCCATGGTCCCAGGTGTGTGGGGGGAGAGGCCAGAGGTCAAGTGGGCAGGCCAGCTGCCAGTGCTCATGGTCCCAGGTGCTGGCAGACATCGAGCTGGCCCAGGCCCTGCAGGCAGCCCCCGAGGAGCGGAGGGTGGAGGAGGTGCCGCACCCGCTGGACCGCGACTACCAGCTTCTCCACTGCCAGCTGCAGCTGCTGGACCCCCAGGCACCAGAGTACCAGGTGTGCTGGGCTCACAGTGGGCACCGCCCCTCTGCCAGCGGCCCCCCTCTGGGCACCTTCTCTCTGTGTTTCCTGGGCCTGGGGGGAAGAGGCGGCTGATCCAGGAGCCACCCCCACACACACACCTGTACCCACTCCTAGCCTCCATCCTCCCCTTTCCCCACAGGTGATCCGCACCTACTTAGAGCAGACTGGCAGCCAGCACAGGTGCCCCACTCTTCAACACATCTGGAAAGTGAACCGAGAAGGGGAGGTGAGGCACAGTCCCCCCCGCCCCCCGCCAGTCACCCTGGCCCTTAGGGAGATAAGCTTAGCCTATCCGGCCCTTAGTGAGCTGCTCAGGGACTCAGAGCCCTTCCCAGCAGGCCGAGTGTGTGTGAGTGTGAGTGCGTGGCACCCAGGGGCCCTGCACCCTTGGATGGCGTGACTCCCACTTCCCACTCCTCCCTGCTCAGGGAGACAGGTTCCAGGCCCACTCCAAGCTGGGGAATCGGAGGCTGTTGTGGCATGGCACCAATGTGGCCGTGGTGGCCGCCATCCTCAGCAGCGGGCTCCGCATCATGCCACACTCCGGCGGCCGCGTGGGCAAAGGCATCTACTTCGCCTCGGAGAACAGCAAGTCGGCGAGCTATGGTGAGACACCTGCTTGGCCCAGCCTGGCCGGGCATGGGGGCACTAAGGGAGACCGGGCCTCATCCTTGCCCACTAGAAACCCCTGCAGATCGGGGGGAGGAGCCTTCGATGCCCAGCAGTCGTCCTGGGGCTTGGGGGCACCCAGCCTGCTGGTCAGGGAGGACTTTCTGGAGGAGGTGATCCAGGTAGGATGAGTGTGCCCAGCAGAACCAGGAGGCACTGGGAGAGGAGTTTCAAGGCAGTGGGGTGGATACAGAGGCGGGGAGACTGCAGCAGATGAGAACATGGCCAGGGGAGCTTGGACCATCCAGGGGGTCTTACCTAGAGCGCAGTGGAAGGCGCAGTTGGACTTGAAACCAGCAGGGTCCTGGTGGCTGCGTGGGGCAGAGGCCAGAGGCTGTAGGCAGGCCGGATGGAGCGAGCAGGGCACACCGTGGAGAGAGGCTCCGAACAAGGGATGGCTGGGGGTGGGAGAGCAGCAGTGAGGTAGCGGAAGGTCAGAGGTGTCTCCAGTGGCTTTTGAGTTTTTGGCTCAGCCCTGGCCACGCCCATCACTGAAGGCCAGCCCCACCCACTCCAGGGCCCAGGATTCGTCCAGGGTGGGGCTCACATTCTGGGGTCTCTGAGGTTGCCCAAGATCATGGGGCCTGGGGAGGGGGCAGGGGAGTCTAAGAAAGCACGGCAAGGTGGGGGCCGTGGATGCCAGTAGCAGACAGCAGAGCAGGCTGCAGTGAGAAGCCCCTCCCCAGGTTTAATCCAGGGGGCCGTGACAGGCCGGGGTGAGAAGGGCAGGCGGGCCAGCAGTGAGGGCGTAAGGTGAGGCAGGAGGAAGCTGGCCGGAGCCGAGGGGACCTGCGGCTGCGGCAGCCACCCAGAGGAGAGCAGCCGAGAGCCGGGCAGGAGCTCCGGGCCGCCCGCCGCTGAGCCTCCGCCTGCCCTGCAGTTACTGGCATGCAGTGCGGGCCCCACTACGTCGGCTACATGTTCCTGGGCGAGGTGGCACTGGGCAGGGAGCACCACATCACCACGGACAGTTCCGGCCTTAAGCGTCCACCCCCTGGCTTCGACAGTGTCATTGCCCGAGGCCACACAGAGCCAGGTGAGCCCCAGGGCACTGACCAGACCTGCGGTGGGGCTGGGATACTGAGACAGGGCACAGGCATGTTCGCAGGGAGGACACAAAGCAGCAGCCTTCCTCACCGTGGACATCCACTGTCCTCCAACAAACACCCCCACCCCGCCCCAGCTCACCAATCGATCCTGGAGGGCTTCAGGGAGAGGTGTCCTTGAAGGAGGAGCAGGCATTCCGCAGAGGGAAGCTGGGGTGTGTGTGTGTGTGTGTGTGTGTGTGTGGCTATTGCAGGCCGGCAGTCCAGCCTGCACCGTGGGGCTCAGGTGGGAGGAGGCAGTCACTGTGGCACAAATGGGGAGCGCAGGGGCCCAGTGACCTTTGCTGTGCCCTGCAGACCCGACCCAGGACACTGAGCTGGAGCTGGATGGCCAGCGAGTGGCGGTGCCACAGGGCCGGCCCGTGCCCTGCCCACAGTTCCGCAGCTCCCACTTCTCCCAGAGCGAGTACCTCATCTACCAGGAGAGCCAGTGTCGCCTGCGCTACCTGCTGGAGATCCACCTCTGAGCTGCCCTCCCTGCGCCCGGGGGCCGGCCAGGGGCTGGCCCGGGGTCTGCAGTCTCCCTGTCCATCTCTGGTGCCCGCACACCACTTCCGTATTTTCCCAAGGATACCGTATGTCATGCACAGAACGCCACCGTGGCCTCACACAGGATACCGCCTGCCTGGCGACCTCCGGCCATCTCCGTTTGCGTAGACCACTCTGAGATGCCCCGCGCGGTGCCTTTGTCAGGATGTGCCGCCGGCCGTGGATGGTGCGTGCCTGTGCGGGTGTGGAGCCATTCACGCAGTCACCAAGCTGTGCCACCGCTCTCGCCGTGCGTCTCACTTCCCCCACCACTGTGACTCCCCACCCCCGCATCTGCCCAGCTCCTCCCCCTCCGACCCCCACCCCACGCCATGAACCCCCGCTCTGCTCTCTGCTCCTAGGAGCCCAGCTTTCTCTGATTCCACATACACGCGAGGTCACATGCTGTTTGTCTCTCTGATTGGCTCATTTCACTTAGCATCCGGTCCTCCAGGCCGCTCCACACAGGGCTGCCTTCGCCGTAAGGGCTGCATCCTGGTCCCTGTGCGCCCCCCCCCCCCCCGCTTCCTTTAGCCCTTCAGCCACCCGCGGATGGATGCACTGGTCGCTTCCCTGTCTTGGCGGCGGTGACTGCGTACAGGTGTCTTTTCGGCCTGCTGATCCCACCGTCTAGCAGCAGCAGGGCGGCTGCATCCACATCGCCCCTTCTTGCCAGGCCCGCCGTGCCCCCAACAGCAGTCTTGCTTCCCTCCAGTCCCTCTTAGCCCTGGCATGGCTCTGGCCACAGGGTCTTGCCCGTGGGGTGGGAGGTTAGTACCGGACACAGAGTGGTAGCCTACCTGACGTGGTTAGAGGGACACAGGCTGAGGGTGGGTGGGGACCCACATCGGCCTGCACCGTCCGCCCTTGCGCAGACTGACAGGTGCAGCCACCGGTGTGGGGAGCAATTCGGACTATACTGTTACTGGAATTAAGACTTATTCTATGCATCTGCTCTCCCACAATATGGCGCTGGGAGAGAAGTAAACAGCTTCCGCACAGCTGCCTCCAGTTCAACTAATAAACTGTAGGACTTGCTATTGATTGGAGGAGAGCAGCGTACTCGGCGTGTGGGCAGCCGAGTTAGGATTGGCGGAGGAGGACTATAAAGGAGGAGAGAGACGGCATGCACCAGGAACATCTAAGGGGAACATCTGAAGGAACACCTGTGCAGCCCCCCAGAGAGCCGGCCGGCGGTGTGCCGCTCCCCTGCGGAAGTGGGGAATGTGGCCAGGGGGAACTGCCCTTCCACGGAGGTGGAAGGGATAGTAGCCAGCCCGGGAAGAACCAGCAGCAAACCCGGGGAGGGCCGAGCAGACGAAAGAACAGCGCAGGGTCCTGTGTCGTTCCTCCACGAAGAGGGGGAGCGACACACCGGGGTAGACCCAACTTCAGGTGTGCACAGGCAGGTGCATTAAGCATAGTGTTCTCTCGTGCCAGCCTCTGCTCGGCTGTCACAGCTGCGCCAGGCCCGGGCCTCTGCCCTCTCCGTGAGGAGACCCAGCACACGGCGCCCCTGTGGTTTGATGTGGCTCACATGCACCCCTACCCCACCTGGGCACCATCACCTGCTCCTCATAATCGAGTCTTCCAGGGGACCCTCTCCATCACTGGGGGACCTGTCTGGTGATCCGTGTTTGCATTTGAGAGGGCAGAGAGAGATACCAATAGATAAAAAGTGGGTGCTCCCACCCACTGGTTCATTCCCCAAATGCCTGCAATGGTCAGGGCTGGGCTGGGCCGGAGCCCGGAGCCAGGAATCCAAGCCAGGTGTCCCACATGGGAGGCAGGGATGGAAGTACCTGCACTGGGGTCTGCATTGGCAGGAGGCTGAGTCAGGAGCTGGAGTGGGGCACTGAACCCCAGTACTCTGATGGGAGGTGTGGGTGACCGCCCTGGCTTCTTAGCCACTTGACCAAACACCTGCTTCTCACCAGGTGACTCTCTGTTTTGGCCAAGACGTTGCCAGGGCAGAAGAGCTTCCCTGCATGTCTTCTGTCTGAGCCTAACAAACAAATTCAGCATACAGCAGAGGAGCCCGGCTGGGCACACGCGAGGAGGCTGCCCGGGCGGGAAACCAGCTGTCACCCCCGGTGATCTGCCACGGACGAGGGGTGTCGCTGCCGCCAAGCAGGCTGGGATCCAGCCTGGGCTCACACCTCCACTTAGCTCATCTCTGTCTCCTTCCCTCTGAAAACTTTCCCAGCCTTTTTTTCGTCCCTTGCTGTGACGTCCGTGACAGTCTGGCAGAGCAAGGCTGGCTGTCCTGTGCGGTGTGTCTTGGCCTGGGTTCAATGTCTCCTCGTGACTGATTCGGGTATGGCTCGGACAGGAGCTGGACATAAGTGTCGCGCCCTGGGTGAACTGCAGCGAGAGCCCGGGTCCCGTCTTGCTGATGCCCCTTCACTAAAGCGGCTGCCGGTGTTTCTCCACCGTCAAGCTGCCCCCCTAATCTTGTGATGAACCAGTGACCCGTGGGGAGACTCGGTGAGCTCGTCCGCTCCACCCATGAGCCTTAGCACCCATTAATGCGATTTATCTGAATCAGTTTTTGCTGAGATGCTTGCAAATGAGTTATCTAATCTCACCGTTTTTATATTGACTAATTAATATGCTGCTTTATTTATTATTGATGTAGATCCATGGATTCCTTTTTCATTCAGTGGGTGATAATTCATCACAGTCACTACTTGATTCCCAAGTTATCCAAGATTTCACCAAAACAAGGGGGGCCCATTCTGTGGTTCCCGTCTTTGTTTGCGCACCTCCTCTCCCTGCCTCACACGCTGCTCCAGGCTCATCTCGTACAAACCTAGAATCTGCCGTTTCTCCAAGGAGCCCTGGAGCAGGACAAGGTGTTTGAAATCAAGATCTGGCAGCAGATGGGATTTTTTTCTTTACTTGAAAAGCAAAGTGATACGTGCATAGAGGGAGAAACACACACAGAGAGGGAGAGAGAGGGAGGGAAGGAGGGAGAGAGGGGGAGGGGAGGAGAGGGGGAGAGAGAGAGAGAGAGAGAGAGAGATAACGAACGTGCACGGTTCTATCGGCTGGTTCACTACCTAAGTGGCTGTGATGGCCAGGGCTGGGCCAGGCTGGAGCCAGGCCAGGATGGCTCCCTCTCCCTCCTCTCCTCTCCTCCCCTCCCCCTCCCCCTCCCGGACTCCCACGTGGGTGCAGGGGTCCAACCAGTTGGGCCATCTTCTGTTGCCTTCCCAGGCCATTAGCAGGAAGCTGGATTGGAAGTGGAGTGTCCAGGAAGGACTCACACCAGTGCTGAACACGCTGTGCCACAATGCCAGCCCCTTGGCTGATCGCTATTCTTCAGGGTGGTTTCGTTATTCATCCAAAACACATCTAGGTCCATTTGTTTTTAAAGATTTATTTATTTACTTGAAAGTCAGAGTTACAGAGAGAGAGGAGAGGCAGAGAGAAACAGAGAGGTCTTCCATCCACTGGTTCACTCCTCAGATGGCCACAACGGCCAGAGCTGCGCCGATCTGAAGCCAGGAGCCAGGAGCTTCTTCCGGGTCTCCCACGGGGGTGCAGGGGCTCGAGGACTTGGGCCATCTTCTACTGTTTCCCCAGGCCATAGCAGAGAGCTGGATTGGAAGTGGAGCAGCTGGGACTCGAACTGGCGCCCATATGGGATGCTGGTACCGCAGGTGGCGGCTTTACCCACTGCGCCACAGCACCGGCCCGGTCCATTGTTTTTGTTTATATTCACTTTCAGTTGTTGTTGTTTTTGTTTGTTTGTTTGACAGGCAGAGTTAGACAGTGAGAGAGACAGAGAGAAAGGTCCTCCTTTTCTGTTGGTTCATCCCCCAAGTGGCCGCTACAGCCGGTGCGCTGCGGCCAGCGCACTGTGCTAATCCGAAGCCAGGAACCAGGTGCTTCCTCCTGGTCTCCCATGCGGGTGCAGGGCCCAAGCACTTGGGCCATCCTCCACCGCACTCCCAGGCCACAGCAGAGAGCTGGACTGGAAGAGGAGCAACCGAGACAGAACCGGCGCCCCAACTAGGACTAGAACCCAGGGTGCCGGCACCGCAGGTAGAGGATTAGCCTAGTGAGCCACGGCACCGACCCAGTCTTTCTTCATCTTTGTTAATTTCTTGTTTTCAACATGGAGAACATCAACATAGTTCCCCAAAGCCTACACTGGGCTGGGCTCTGCTCTACATCCGGCTTCCTGCTAATACGCACACTGGGAAGCAGGAGACGACGGCTCAGTGACAGGGTCACAGCCTGGCCCGACCCTGGCTGTTGTGAGCATCTGGGAAGTGAATGGGAGCTTGTGTGTGCGTGTGTGTGTGTGCGTGTGCGTCTGCCTTTCTGATAGATTCCGTAAACTAAGGCGTACAGAGGGTGTGAACCCTACAAAGTGAGCTCAGAAGAGGGCCCCTAGTCCTCACTGCACTCCCACTCACCTGTGGCCAGGGGCCGGCGTCATCAGCTCTGCTTTATCCTTCCTGTGTTGCTTTGGAAAATACATTTTTTATCACACACATGCGTTTTCATTTTTCCTTTCTTTTTATGCATTGGGAGGGAGCGTGCATGCTCCCACCCTCCAGAGACACACACCCCCGCCCCCGCCCCCACTGTACACTTCTTGCTCTCCCACACGGCCCTGCTGAGTTCTCCCCAGCCCTGGGGGTCCAGAGGCTGCCACAGGCTGGCAGGGAGAAGAGGAAGGAGGAGGTGGCCCTCCCCCATCCTCTGAAGCCAGACTTCAAAAGTCCTCCATCACCTCCCACAGGCAAATGCCCAAGTTCAAGGTGCGGCCGAGAACAGGGAGGGGTGCCTGTGTGGGCAGAGCTCTGGGAAGCAGGGGACCTGTGTGCACTGGGCTACATTCCTGCCCTCTCTGCTCCGTGTGCTCATCTGAGCAACGGAGAATTGGATGGGGCCCTTCAAGTTCCAGCACGAAACGCGTCAAGCCCGAGCCCACGCTGTCCGTGCGCCTGTGGTCGGTTCTAGGGGCAGGGGCCCAAGCGACACCCAGCAAGGTCCCTGCCCTCGGAGAGCTCGCACTCGTAACATAAGAGCCTCTAGGCAAACACTGACACAGATGTGACATAAAATCTCAGGAAAATGCCAGGAAGAACAAGGCAGGGCCCGAGCGTTAGCGTGAGGGGGAAGCAGGACAGCTTTAGGACAGGGGCTTGGCGAGGGCCTCCCTGCGACGAGCTGACGTAAGTGCAGGAGCAACCCACAGACAGACCCAAGGATGGGTTTTCTATCAGAGGACACAGCAAGTGCAAAGGGCCTGTGGTGTGAAGTGGCTTGACAGGTGAGAGGGACAGCAAGTGATGACTGAGGCACAGATGAGGGGGAGCTGATGAGTCTGGGAAGCTCTGGCGGGGCTGACTGACAGCAGGGTCACGACCTGACCCGACCCACTTGGGCTGCTGCGTGTGAGTGGGCTGCAGGGCGTGTGCCAGTCAAGATCCAGACCCCACGGGGAATCTGACAGAGGGAGAGAAGTGAATGACCAGGGCCAGCACTGCAGTGTAGCAGGTAAAGCCGCCACCTGCAGTGCCAGCATCCCATATGGGTGCTGGTTCAAGTCCCGGCTGCTCCATTTTCTTTCGATCCAGCTCTCTGCTATGGCCTGGGAAAGCAGTGGAAGATGGCCCAAGTCCTTGGGCCCCTGCACCCGCGTGGGAAACCTGGAAGAAGCTCCTGGCTCTTGGCTTCGGATTGGCACAGCTCTGTCCATTGTGGCCAATTGGGGAGAGAACCAGCACGTGGAAGATCTCTCTCTCTCTCTTTCTGCCTCTCTCTCTCTCTGTGTAACTCTTTCAAATAAATCTTATTAAAAAAAAAAAAAAAGAAGTGAATGACCAACCTGGATGGGCACAAAGACGAGCGACAGCAGGAGTCCCTACCTGCAGCCGAGGGACAACGGAGGGAGGGGGTGTTCTGATGCCCAGAGGCCAGGGCCGTCCTCCAGGAGACCCAAACACACAGGAGCTGCGGGGAGGGAGCCAGGGCTATGCAGAGACAGGCTGCCTTTCAGCACACGGCCGCACGGCCCCACAACCCCAGGCTGCACAAGCGAGGACAACCTTGCTCCTCCCAGCCCCAAGTCTTCTTCTAGTAACTTCCATTAGCTGAACACCCCCAAAGCCAGTGGTCAAGGTGGTCTGAGAGGCAGGTGTTTGGCTTGCTGACGAAGGCACTGCTGGAGACACCTGCACCCACTCCCAAGTGCCTGGGTTCACGCCTCAGCTCTCCTCCCAACTCCAGCTTCCTGCTCGCGCATACTCTGGGAGACAGCAGAGGATGACTCAAGCGACTGGGTCCCTGTGACCCATGAGAGACTGCATGGCATTCCTGTCTCCTGGTTCCGGCCTGGCCCGGCCCCAGCTGTCAGCTGGCACATGGGGAGTGAATCAGCAGATGGAAGATCTCTGTCCCTCTGTCTCTCTGCCTTGCAACATTTTTTTAATTAAAACAAATAAACATAAGGCATGTGGGCAGATCAGTTCTCAGGAAGGGTGGGAAATGAATTTCAGAGCAAACAGGAGAAAATGGGAGCAGGAAGCCAGAGGGCGCAGCAAAGTCCCGGTGAAAGACGGCGTGGCCGGGCCCGGGACGTGGTGTCAGTGCTGGACTCCGAAGAGCCTGGTGGGTTGGAGATGGAGCCTGGGGACAAGGAAGGCACCTCGAGATGGCACTGGCTTAGCTGGCGAAGACTCTGGGAGGGGCCGGTTGGGGAGGGGTCAAGAGTCATGGTTCTGTTTTGGACACAGGACGTTTAAGACGTCCAGCAGTGGAAGTACCAGGGGAGATGTCAACAAGGCAGCTGAGACCCAAATCTGGGGTTCAAGGCAGAAGGAAGTTCAGGCGCAAACGTGAGCAATCAGGGTAGAGGTGGGGGTTTGCTAGGGAACTGGGCAACTTCACAGGGAGTCACGTGTCCCACTGCAGTCTCGCGTCTCTCCCTGAATCAGCTACTCAGGCTGGGAGCAGACGCTGTGCACTGATTGGCCAGGACTGATTGCCTAAGTGGGAAAATGAGGGGTGGGAACTTGCTCACCCAAAACGCATGTCCTAAGAATCAGGGAGGGGTGGGTTCCTAGAGGAAAGTGAGGGTGCTTCTGTCGGGAGTGCACTTGTTTGCCAGCAGCAAAAACAAACCAACCAAAACAGCCACAGCCCACAGGTACCTGCTTATGCACCCACTGCTATGCAGTTAACACCGGCTGGGCACCTGCTGGCCAGGCTGTGACCTCCCAGCCTCCCTTCTTGCTGAGAGAACTCGCCCTCCTGGGCTAGCTCATGGCTGGTCTTGCGGCCCCCGCTCACGTCCCACCTCCAGAACCTGGGTTTCCCTTCAGCACTAGGACTAACTGAGGCTATTACCCCCACGGATGGGGATGCGGGACAGCAGACGGGGGCCACCGCCCAGATGCAGGACAGGGTGTGGCTGCCTCCAAAGCCCACACTCGACCATCTCCCCAGCCCCCCAAGCGCTGTCACAGCACAGCTTCTAGCCTCCGGCTGGCAGCTGCTAGGACCCAGGGGGCTGGCGCCAGGCCCTGCCCCTCCCTTGCCAGCTCTGTGCATCTCCAGAGGGCACCATCAAAGTGACAGCCAGTGCCATCTCCGGCAAAGGCCGGGCTGCTGGAGCTGGGCTGGGGCGGGGGCCAGAGCCAGCAGGCTCAGCCTTGCACCTCTCCATGGGGCCGGCCAAACATCCCAGAAGATGGCAGCCTGGGCAACGGAGCCACCTCCCCCACAGCCTATGAGGTGAGGGGCCGGAGGGGCGAGGGGCAGGAGATGGGAACCCCGGAGCTGGAGACCCCCATTTAGCTCTCTGCATCCCAGCACAGGGTGAAGCCTGGGCGTGCAGATGGCCAACAGCACGGGACTGACCGGCGCAGAAGTCGCAGGCTCGGTGGGGTTGATCCTGGCGGCTATCGTAGAGGTGGGGGCCCTGCTGGGCAACGGCGCGCTGCTGGTGGTGGTGCTGCGCACGCCTGGCTTGAGCGACGCGCTCTACCTGGCGCACCTGTGCGTCGTGGACCTGCTGGCAGCCGCCTCCATCATGCCGCTGGGCCTGCTGGCCGCACCCCCGCCAGGCCTGGGCCGCATGCGCCTGGGCCCCGCGCCTTGCCGCGCCGTGCGCTTCCTGTCCGCCGCGCTGCTTCCGGCCTGCACGCTCGGCGTGGCCGCCCTCGGCCTGGCGCGCTACCGCCTCATCGTGCACCCGCTGCGGCCAGGCGCGCGGCCGCCGCCCGCGCTGGTGCTCACCGCGGTGTGGGCCGCGGCCGGGCTGCTGGGCGCGCTCTCCTTGCTCGGGCCGCCGCCCGCGCCGCCCCCGGCCCCGGCCCGCTGCTCGGTCCTGGCTGGAGGGCTGGGGCCCTTCCGGCCGCTCTGGGCGTCGCTGGCCTTCGCGCTGCCGGCCCTCCTGCTGCTCGGTGCCTACGGCGGCATCTTCCTCGTGGCACGCCGCGCCGCCCTCCGGCCCCCACGGCCCGCGCGCGAGGCCCGGCTGCGCTCCGATTCGCTGGACAGCCGCCTCTCCATCCTGCCGCCCCTCCGGCCTCGCCTGCCCGGGGGCAAGGCGGCCCTGGCTCCGGCGCTGGCCGTGGGCCAGTTTGCAGCCTGCTGGCTGCCTTACGGCTGCGCGTGCCTGGCGCCCGCAGCGCGGGCCGCAGAAGCCGAGGCGGCCGTCACCTGGGTTGCCTACTCGGCCTTCGCGGCGCACCCCTTCCTCTATGGTCTGCTGCAGCGCCCCGTGCGCTCGGCGCTGGGCCGCCTCACTCGCCGCGCGCTGCCCCGGCCCCCGCGGGCCTGCCCTCCGCGGGCCTGGCCCCCGCGGGCGCTCCTGCGGCGCCTCCGGCGACCCCGCCAGAGCCCTGCCCCAGGCCCCTCGGAGGCACCAGAGCAGGTGCCCTAGTGAGCAAGAGGGTGGAGCCGGGCCACCTGAGCGCTCTCTCTTGAGCCTTGAGCCGGAGGCTAGGGGCCCAGCCAGCCCCGCGGCACAGGTAGGCACAGGTAGCCGGGGTGCCTGCTGGGACTTGTGACCATAAAGGAGGAAAGCTGTCGGTAGCCTGGTGAGGCTGAGGCTTCCAAGAGCCTGGAACCCCGGGTTCTGGGCCCAACACTGCATGGTAGGTGTGCACAGACCTACCTCGCCTCAGGCCTCAGTTTCCCCCTATACCCTGCGCTGTCCCCCAAGGTCCTGCAGTGTGGGCTGTTAAACTCAAGGAAGGCCCCAGGCCCAGGAAGGAGAAGTGCGGAGTCCAGAGAAGAGGACCTAAGAGCTCACAACCAAAGTGAGGGCAGAGCAGGGTCGGACTTGACAGCCACAGCAGGAGCAACCAGTGGCGAGACACTCAGAAGGACTTCCCAGACGTCAGCACCAAGGAGAGACTGGACAAAGCTACTGAGCTGCTTTCATCTGTTCTAAAGAGCCCAGGAAACAACTGGATCCATTTGGTGCTGGAAGCAGGAAGCTGGACACGACCCCTGAGGCTCCCCAGCTGGAACAGCCCAGTGGGGGCTGGTGGGGTCACAGGTGCGGTTCCTCTGCTGCCCCACTTCCTGGAGGTTTTGCCCACCCTCCCCCAGCACCACTATTTCATAGCTTCCTGGTCGCTGAGAATGTTTATTCAAAAACAGGGATTGAAAAAAACTGTACAGTGTCTGCTGCTCAGAACTGGGCCCCTGCCCCCATGCCACTGCCCCAGCTCCCAGCAGAGCCCCCTCCCTGGGCTGCCCAAAGGCAAGCCCAGCCAGTCCATTCCAGTCACAGGGCGCGGGGGGAGCAGCAGGGACCCGCAGAAGGCGGGAACAGAAGCACGGCTCCAGCCACCCCCACGCTCTCCTCCCTGAGCCCCACACAGCAGGCAGGAGGCCGGAAGCCCAGAGGGGTGGGGTGTGCAGGAGTGACCCCACCGTGGTGGGGGCACCAGAGAGGCCCCTGGCTGCTCCCTGCATCCGAGCACAGAGCTGAGGGGATGGGGGCCCCTGCCCTGGGGCTGCCACAGCTCTCGGAGCCCTGGGCCAGGAACTGCACCTGCTGTGGGAGAAGGAATCGCACAGACCCAGGCAGGGGAGGGAGTGCATCCATGCGTCTGGCGTTAGCGGCATCTGGGAGCCCTGGGTGGAGTCTCCTGGGGCAGGCAGGGTGCCAGGGCAGCCCCCCAGCTGGCGGTCCCACCTGCCCCTGCCTGTGGCTCCGGCGGCCTCAGTAGGGGGAGAATTTCTGCCGCTCGGCTTTCTTGCTCCCATTGGCCGCGGCCATCTTGGCAGTGTAGGCCGCCAAGCCCGGCGGTGGCCCTGGGGAGGCGGGCGGTAGAGCCAAGAAGGGCACAGGCTTGAGGCCGATGAAGTTGGAGAGGGAGATGGCGTAGGGCGTGCCCAGCAGGCCTGGAGGAGCCGTGGGCAGGGCCGTCAGGGGCGGCGAGAAGGGGGCGGACAGGTCTGCGGGGGTTGAGCCAGGCGTCCCCCCAGAGGTAGACTTGGCCGTCTCTAGACTGGAGAGAGGGACACGGAGGGGGGGAGAGTGAGAGGGGCGATGGGGCAGGTGTGGCACTAACCATGAGGGAGCAGGGAGCAGCTGCGTGGGTGTGTATGGGAAGGGGGCAGGGGGCGAGGGAGGTGGACAGTGAGGACGAGCAGAGACATGGAGACGGAGCGAGGCAAGGGGACATGACAGCTGGGCCCAGAGGGGTAAGGCAGGGCAACATGGGGTGCTGACACGGCCGGGGTCAGAGGGCAGGCTCAGATGGAGAAAGCCAGCCCCGCCCTCCTCGCCTGTGCCCTGCAGGTGCCCATGCCACCGCCCGCCCCATGCTCACCAGGCAGTGATGAGGTACTGGGCCAGGGCGATAGAGACGGGCGAGCCGGTGATGGTCACATGCCGCTCGCCAGCGCCCTCGGCTTGATTCCCGATCTTGATGTGGGCCCCTGACATCTGCCGGATCTCGCTGATCTTGCTGCCCTGGCGCCCGATCACACAGCCGATCAGCTGGGGAGACCACATTATTAGCATTCAACTCTGGCCAGAGCCCAGGACGCCCAGGCCCCCCGCCCGGCCCCCCGCCTGGCCCGCAGCCAACCCCCGCCCCTGCTCACGTCATTGGGAACCAGGAATTCCTGCGAACTGGTCTGTGTGCCAGGATCCAGTCCTGAGGGGGAGACGAGGGACTGAGTGTGGCTCTGGGCCTTCCCCGCCCCCCACGCCCACTCCAGCGGGGCCGCCCAGACCCGCGCACCTGGCACCACGCTAGGGGAGGCAAAGGGGACTGCGTGGCCTGAGAGCTGCTGGAGCTTGGTGACCTGTGCCAAAGAGAAAGGGGTGGATGTCAGAGGAGGCCCGGTTCCGGTTCTGGAGGGGAAGCCTCAGGCTGTGAGCCACTCACCTCAGCTGGGGTCACAGCCCCATATTGACCCTGGACAGGAAAGCCCTGCAGGGAAAAGTGGACGGAAAGGGGGTTACTGTGATGGGTCCCAGCAGCTAGCCGGTCACTCCGCATCCTCCCTGGACCCCCGAATCCCTGCTCCCACTCCCTTGCCCACCTCTATCCCCTCACCTGGTTGGCAGACAGGAGGACCGTACCCAGGGAGAGGCTTGGATGGTAGGGGATGGTGGCTCCTTTGGGTGGGGACTGGAAGGCAGACACGAGGAGGCTCCGCTGGGACCCTCGCTGCCAAGTGCCCCATGGGCCCCCCCAGGCAAATGCCTCCCAACACTTGGAGCCCACAACCCGCCCCTGCGGCCCCACCCAGCCCCAGCCAACACAGGCGTAGGATGTGAGGTCCTGAAAAGGCTCGCCCAGGGCCCCACCTCGTGCCACCACTGACCCCCCGGCCCAGGGTCGCACCTCCAGGATAACAGCACAGATCTGCCGCACACACAGGATAATGGCATCAGGCACCCCAGACACGGTGACAGCACGCTCTGTGGAATTGGGGAGCAAGTCCCCCGCCACCTGCACCTGAGCACCCGTGGTCTGCAAACAGAACAGGGGCTGCTCTGGCTGCCGCCGTAGCCCAGAGAAAGGCCGTGCGGGCTCCGAGCGCCCCAGCACGTACGAAGCCGTAAAGCCCAGGTCCCCGGTCACAGGTGGAGGGTGGGGCCTCCCTGGATGCAGCGCCCTCTCCCCTCACCTCTCGGATCTCCTTGATCTTGGTGCCCGCCTTCCCGATCAGCGAGCCACACTGGCTGGCAGGGATGACGAGGCGTAGGGTCACGGGAGGCCTGGAGACGTTCCCACCATTTGCAGGAGCAGCACAGAGGTCCTGGGGCAGGGAGGAGGGGTGGCTATGCACACCCCCGCCACTCCCCACCCTCCCACTCTGGCCCCTTCCTGCCCAGGGATAAGGCAGGTACTCCCTCCCCTGCCCTGGGCCAAGGGAACCCTCCCTCCCACCCACAACCAAGCCCTGGAGCCAGGACCCTGTTCTCCTTGGGGAGCCCCCCTTGGCCTCCCATCCCAGTGAGCCACAGACCTCATCCAGCTTGAAGGCGATCATGGAGACAGCGTGGAAGACGGCGGCTGTGGAGCCGGTGATGGTGGTGATGCGCTCGGGGCAGGAGCCCTCGGAGATGGTGATCCGGGCACTGCTCTGTGGGCACAGCACGAGCGGTGGGCAGCAGGGCCCCTTCCCCGCACCCCCTTGCCAAGAATCTGCCTGGCCCGCTCAGCCCCGGGGGCAGGCATAGGCCCTCCCCTCCGTGGCAGGTGCCCCAGGCTCCTCCCTCCAACTCCAATCTCACCTGCTCCCTGATCCGCTTTACAGTCTCTCCCTTCTGTGGAACAAAGCAGAGGTCACCCTTAGGCTGGACGGTCACCCAGCCTCAGGTGCAGGGGTCGCAGGCAGCGGGACTGGGAACCTACCTTCCCGATTATACTGCCCACCTCCTGCAAACGAGACAAGAGCGCAGTCAGGTGGGCCCTGAGGCCCCAGGCCCAGGCCCGCTCCCGACCCAGCAAGGGCCCCGCGGAAGGGGCCCCCCGCCCCGCCCCGCCCCGCCCCGCACGACCACACCCACCTTCCCGTGCATCAGCATCCGCAGCGTGAGGGTGATGCTGAGCTCCGGCTCTTCCTCCAGCCCCGCGTCTGAGCCGCTCATCCTGTCAGGCGGGGCTGGGGCCACAGCGGCCTGGGACAGTGTCCACGCTGCGGCCTGGCCGGCTCTGTGGGGGCAGCGGAAGAGGGGTGAGGGCAATCCCACACCCCAGAGCAAGGAGACAGCCTGGCTGTCCCGACAGCCATGCTTAGGTACACTTCACCAGCCGTGTGGCCCTGGATGGGTCCCTGACCCCTCCAAGCCTCAGCTTACCATCTGCAAAAGGGAGAACCAGTTCCCATCCCTGGAGTTGGGAGAGAAGGAGAGAAGCACACTGAGGGCAGGGGCCCCGTCTCTGGGCGTGTGCTTCCCTTCCCTCTCCCATCAGGAGGAGGGACGCACTCACTGGGTCCGTGGGAGGCCAGAGAGGACAGCCACGCGTGCCATGTCTAGGGCACCCTCCTGTGGATCGGGCCTTGAAGGCGGAGGGAAGGGTGGAAGCCGGCTGCAAAGAGGGCCTCGTGTCCAGGGACCAGGCCCTGCTGCCTGGAGCAGAAAGCAGCAGGCGCGGCAGGTCTTGCAGGGGGGGAGGCTGAGGGCAGTGAGGTTAGGAGGTCCCCTCAGCCCTACCTGCAGAGGTGACCTGGTTGGCCAGAGGGCACTGGAGCACAAGTTCCCTCAAACACCACGGGGCTGGGCACAGGGTATCAGGGGCCCACGGCGCACACTGTGGTGCTCTAATCCCTCTCCTGCGTGCTCAGGGTGGCCCTGGGGACAGGAGGTGAGCAGGATCCGGGCTGGCCACACTCCCAGCCTGGAACACTTTCTACACTACCCAAAACAAGGCACTTGGGGTCTGAGTCTCAATTTTTTCCCCCAAAGAACACAGAGGGAGCCGCTGCCCCTAGGACTGGGTGCTGGGTAAGAAAGGGGTTCAGTGGGCGGTGGGCCGTAGGAATGTCACGGCCACTAACCGGTGCTGGAGGGTGGAGCCTGCGATTAGCTGCTGGGATTAGCTCAGCCGCCAGCCCTCCCTGCCCGACCCCTTTTCAAGCCCCAGCTTAATCCTGAACCTTAATCCTGCTTGGAAATCCCTCTCCTTTGAAGGCTGTCTCCTGCCAAGGCTCAGCCTTGATGGGCAGCTCACTGGGGGACCAGAACCCAAGGAGGAGGACGGGGAGTGTGACCAGCTGGTGCCGAGCCGGGGCCAAGACTAAGCTCTCGCCCTGCAAATGCGTTCTGCCCAGGAGGGTGTGAGGGCAAAGGATGAGTGTGGTGGGCTTGGCGCACACGGAGGCCTCTGCCCATCCCGACACGAGGGTCAAGGGCGTGAGCTCTGCCCGATCCCCTTGCTAGCCAGAGTTTGGCCATGGAATGGAAGGGGGCACTCCCGCCTGGTTCTGGAGGTCTCCGCTTCTGCGCCCACTCCATGGCCAGGACAACCCTATTCCCGCCCCCCGCACCTGCTCCTCTCTCCCGTCCAGTTCCGCCCCAGGCTCTCCAGAGCTGGAGAGCAGCCGTGGATGTGGGCGCTGTGCTCGCCGAGCATCCTGGCCAGCCCCGTGCTGGCTGCCCTTGCTCCACATTCCCCGGGCTGCCTGCACTTCCCCCATCAAAGCGCGTGTAATGACGTGCTTGCTTTCAGCCTCCCGGACAGCCAAGCCCGGGAGCCCCTGAGAGCAGCAGCCAAGGCTGCCTGCCGCCTTCTTGTGTCCTCGGGGCTCTGTTCAGAACACGCTGGTGAGCTGAGCAGACGAACGCCCTGCCCGGCAAGGGAAGCTGACGCTGAGACAGTCACAGAGAGGAGGGGGTGGCAGGGTCCTGCCTGCTCTCCAGGCTGTCCCAGCCCCACCACGTGCTCCCATTCAGGCTGCTCCTGTGGGGTCCGTTAGTCCTCCTCGGGGACCAGCTGCAGGCTTTGGCCGTCTCCGAGGGCCCTCTCCTGCCTAGTAGCCATGAGCCTGTCTGCAGAGGGCTGACAACGTGTCCAGGGCCACTGTCTTAAGCTCCAGAGTTTTCTGGGGCTCACAGACCCCTTTGGGATGCCAACCAGTGAGAACCCTGACACTGACCCCACATCAACTCCACACCTCCTCTTGAGGCCCCAGGACAAAAGAGGCAGGGGCTGGAACACGGCCAGGACCGGAGCACCTGCCTCGGTACAGACCCGCTGCCCCAGTTGAGTGAATGACCTGGCCAGGCTCTCGGCCCACCCACCTGTGCTAAGTTTGGAGGCTGAGGGTGGGGGGAGGGTTGCTGGTCTATGCCCTCCCCTTCTCGGAGACCCTCAGGGTGCTTTCTGGCTACAGGAGAGAACAAGGGGCCCTGACCCACATTTCCCACATTCTCCTCGAGCCCCAAGAACGCGCAGCGCCGCTGGGTGTCCCTGGCTCCCTGGCTCCCTGCGGCTCCTGTCTGGTGGGTCCCTGCGGCTCCTGTCTGGTGGGTCCCTGCTGGGCCACCCACATGGCAGCCGCACATCATGCCACACTGACCTCCAGCTCACCTCCGACAGTGCCCAGCCCCCTCTGGTCAGCAGGGCTCCCAGGCAGAACATAACAAGCTCAGACAGGGCCTCTGACCTCAGGCCTCCCCTCCTGCGCCCCAGGCCCCCTCCCCAGACCTGGTGCCCACTCCTTCTGTTCCTGGCTTCCTGCCACTCGGGCTGGAGGGGGTGGGGAGGGTGGTGACAGCTGTGTAAGCGATGGCGGCTGCCCCCTTCCTGCCCCTCCCCCCCAGCTGTCTCTCTCCCATGACAGCTGCCCAATCAAAGGGCCGGGGGCTTAGCCAGCTCCCCCCACACGCAGGGATCAAGTGTCCACCCTGGCTTTGTTCTGGAGCAAGAACAATCCCAGGGAGGGGAGGGCTCCTGGGGCCAGGCAACTCAAGTAGCCCGCGCCCCTCAGGGGATTCCCTGGGCTCTCTGGCCAGTGTCTGGCCAGCTAGGGCCTGCAGACCCACCTGGGCTGGGGGAGGGTACCGTCTCCAGCTTCATTCCACATCTCCCAGCATCCCCTCACCACCTTCTCCTATTCCCACTCCGAAAGCGGTTGCACTGGCCACACCCAGTGATGCTGAGGAATGGCCGGGCGCATCAGCAGAGGCAGGGTGTGGCAACGGGCTGGAGAGCTGGGCGGCCAGGGACCCGGGCTCCCCTGCCCATCCCCTTCTCTGGAGATGCCCACCCTGCCCCATCAGGCCTCTTCAGGCCTCAGGCCACGCACCCAGCCTCGATCATGCCCACTTCCGGAGGCAGGAGGGGGAGACGGGGCCTCCAAAGGAGCAGCCTGGGGGCCACAAGCTCCAGCCCCTGTTCTCTGATTCAGGTCTGTCTCATAAACAAAGCGCCAGGCAGAGAAGGAACCGGATCAGAAATGCTACTTCGTCCTCACAGCATCACTAGGCAGCACCCTGAGTCTTCATAGCTAAGAGAAACCAAGGCAGGCCCAGGCCCAGGCTGGGCTCCCGGAGGAGGCCACAGCCTCACGGCACAGCCTCGCCCACTGGTACCCAACCCCTGCCGCCTCACCCAAGTTGAGAAAGGTCTCTAGCGTCCATTCTCCATGCTGGAGGCTACGCTGTCTACTGCTCAACAGCCATCCATGGCTCCCCAGTGCCCAAGAAAGGAAGTCTGATCTCCACGGACAGACAATCGAGGCCTTCATGGTCTGGCCCCTGCCGACCTGGCTCATCTCTACCCCATCCCCCATACACACCAGGCTGCAGAACACACCTAGAACCTCCAGCCTCTGCCCCGGCTGATCCCAGCCCGAGATGCCCGGCCTCCCCACTCTCAGAAGTGCCCCACCTGGGCAGGGCCCTCCCCAGCTTTCCCAGGGAGATGGAATCACTGTGGCCCCGCGCCCCTCGGGGAGACGGCTGCAACGAAAAGCAGTCCCGCGTCGGAGCCTGTCTTTCCAGTTCAGAGAACTCCAGGACAGAAACTTGAGACAGAACCGGGCTGAGCATGCAGGGAGAACTGGGGATCACACGGGCCGGGGACACTAGGAGCCATCAGGCTCAGGGGCCCTGGGGCTGAGGAGCCCGGAGGAGCAGTGAGGGACGCACACACAGGCCCCCCAGCTCTTCCTCGGCACCGCCAGCCCCAGCCCCTGCCCCTGCTGTGTTCCTGGGGTCCATGGCCTCCAGGGGGGATCTGAGTTTTGCAAAGTGGCCTCGCCCTCTGGAGAAGGGGTACTGGAAGAAGAGCTGGCGTGTGGGACGGGCTGCACGGCAGGGAGGCGGCCTCAGCCTGTCACAGCTGAGTCTCCCCAGTCAAGCCAGGAAGGCAGGCGATGTGGGAAGCCACTGGAGGAGCTGGGAGCCCTGGGGTCCACCTGTGCAGCCTGGAGCGCCTTCCTCCGGGGATCAAGCACTACGGGGGCAGTGATGGGAGCAGGGAGAGTGCACAGAGCCTGTCTGGGGACACAGGGTGGGGCAAGCCAGCCTCCCAGTGGCCTGGGCCTGCCAGGGTGTGTGGGCCGCCTGCTCCCAGCCCCCGACCCAGAGCATGCGAAGAGAACAATCCCCTTGTGTTTAGGCGGCCTGAGCCTGCATGCTGATGAAGGCCGGGGGTGGGGGCTGGGCTGGGGGCGCCTCGGAGGTTGAGAGGGCTCCAGGACCTGGAGGGGCAGAGGATCTTCAGATAGGGACAGAATAGCCTGCCCGGCGCCAGCCCTGAGTGAATGGGGGACCCCAGGAAGAGCGAAGGCCGGACTTGGCTCCTGGGGAGTGTCTGGGGTGCAAGCTCTCTTTGTAGGGGAAGAAGAGCCCCTGAGGACGCGTGTCCTGTTCATCCAGCATGAAGGTGATCTTCCAAGGCTGGGGGCACCCAGGGCCCCACATTCTGGGAGAAAGGGATGCACCTGGACATGAGTGCATCCCCTTGAAGACCACTCCCCTGGGTGCTGGACCCGGGCGGGGCCCTGGGTGCCACAGGTCTCAAGATGGCGGGCCTGGGCCATGGGAGTGAGGAGGCAGGCGCCTCCCTCTCCTGGCCAGGCAGGCACCAGGGCCAGGCTGAAGTGAGAGCAGAGCCCCCCACCCTAACCCACCCAGGAGCCCAGCCAAGGAGTCAGGTCAGAGCTGAGGCCAAAGAGCCCCAGGCACAGAAAGGACCACTGAGCTCCCAACTCTCATCTCCATGCAACCCTGGCCTGGAGGGTCTGTGTCTGGCTGCTCCTAGGACTGCAGAGCACGGCCAGGGGTGGATACTGGGCCAGGAGCAGCAGGGGCGCAGACACCGAGCAGAACCCGAACCCAGGACAGGAGGTCCAGGAAAGAGCAGGCCCAGAGGAAGCAAACACGGGTGGGATGGGAGCCTCAGACCTGAGATCTAAGGTCCAGGAAGCCCCCTCCCTGCTGCAGAGCGCTCCTCTGGCCGCTGAGAGCCCCCACCTGTACAAGTCTCAGCGATACGGGACAGGGAGCGCGTTCTTCGCAGTCTCCCAGTGTCCCGGAGCCAGGACCCCAGCCCAAGGACCCGAGCGCGGCCGCCTGCCCCCTCCCCCGGCCGAACCCCCAAACTTCGTGCCCCGCCCGGCCCGCGCCCTACCTCGCTGGGGCTGTCCTGCGGCGGCGGCGGCGGCGGCGCGGCGGCTGGGCCGCTCAGTCCCACATTGTCCCCGGGAAAGGCGGCCGCTCACAACTGCGAGTGACATCAGCTGCGAACAATGAGGGGTTTGACAGGCGCGGAGCCCGGCCGGCCCGGAGCCCGGCTCCGCGCCCCCCCCACCCCCGGCCCGCCCGGCCCGGCCCCTCCCCGCCCCCTCCCCGGATCCGATTACAGCGCGGCGGGCCCGCCCCAGCCGCCCCAGTGCCGCAGCCGCCCGCCCCGCCCCGCCCCGCGCGCCGCGGTGCGCCCCGAGCGGCCGCGCTTCCGGGAGGGCTCCGGGAGCCGCGGGCCTGCCCGCGCGGCGCCGGGCCCCGAGCCCCCGGCCTCGGCTCCCTCCGAGCTCGGGCTTCGACCTCCGCCCCGCCCTCATCGTGGCTCCCGTTGTCTGCGCTGTCCTGCGCGCGGGGGCCTCAGCCCCGAGACCCGCGGCCCGGCCCGGTGCGCACAGGACAGGTTACCGGGCCAGCTTCAGGAGGGGCCTGAGAGCCCTCGTGCACCCCGCCCCGCCGCGACGCCCCCAGGTCCACTCCCAGCATTCCTTTTGGGGTTCGGGTCGCGAGGGATGGGGGCGCGGCAGAGCCCTCGACGAGGGAAGAGATGCGTGGGGGAGGGGCTGAGCTATTCTCAAGTCCCACGCCCCTCCCCCCGCGCGCCGGGGGCCAAATATTCCTCCCCCTCTGCCCGGTAATCGGCTCAGCCTGGTCCCACTGACCTCCACCTCCCCCACGGCTGAGGCTCTTGGCACCTGGGTACGTGTGGGTGGGGAGGGGAATCCAATCTCCCTTCCCCTCCATCTGGCCTGGTGGACAAAGGGCAGGGGGACCATCTGGTCCCGCCAGCGTGGGGGAGGGGCCCGCCGTGGCGGTCCCTAGGGGCGGGGGAGGGGCGGCGCTCCGGAGACAGCGAGAGCCTGTAAGGGTCTAATTGCATCGCTTTATTTCCATCCCCCAAACCTCAAAGCAAGGCACTAGCTGGGCTGAGAAGACCCAGACCGCACAACCCGGGGCAAGGGAGCGCCGGGAAGCCAGGGAGAAAGCAGGGAGATCGGCCTCTCCGGGGCAGGCAGTTCTGGCCCTGGGGCCACCTGCAACCAGTGGGTGAGTAGAGCCGGGGGCCCGCCACACCCTAGGCATAGCAGTTCTGCAAGGGCGGGCCCATGGGGCCCAGACAGGTGCTACAGCGTTAGAAGTGCACATGGACCTGGGCTAGTGCCTGTGTGGAGGCCCAGGTGTGCACGGGTGCGTGTGCAGGGCAAAGCTGCCCATGAAAAAGGTGCATGGTCTCCCCATCACCTGCACCATGCAGCGGCTCCCGTGAAGGGTCAGACCTGTATCTGGGATCAGGTAGGTATAGAAGGCTCCAAGCATGTAAGTGCGTGTGGCCTCAGGCGGGAGGGGGTGGGCAAGGGTGGGGGTGACTGGCCTGCAGGGCAGCTGAAGGAGGAGGCAGGGGGAGGCTGGGCAGAGCAGAGGAAGGCGAGAGAGCCAGCAGGAGCCTGTGGAAGCTTGGATTACCCTCCAGCATATTACGTCCCTTGATTCCTGTTTTTTGCTCTTGATTTTACCTCCTCAGTCTGGCGCTGCAAAAGAAAGAAGCAGAAAAAGACACGGACCCCAAAAGACATGAACCCGGAGAAACAACAGACAGACACACCTGTGGTGCACATGTGATGAGCCAGAGCCAAGAGAGGGGTGGGAGAGAGCGGGAGAGGCCCGAGGCAGCAGGCAGCAGGCAGGCAGGTGTCTCCCCCGGCCAGAGCGCGGGGCCTATGCCAGCCCCTGCAGGAAGCTCAGCAGCTCTGTATGCCACTCCTCCGGTTTGTCCAGGTAACAGGGGTGCCCCGCCCCCTTCATGACCAGCACCCGGTGGTTGGGCAGCTGCTTCAGGTGCTCAAAGCTGCTCTGACCCATGGGGTCCTGGTCTCCATATACAATCAGGGCCGGAATCTGAGAGAGAGGAAAGCGGGGCGGAGTCAACGGGGCCGCCAGGGCAGCCTGCCCCCTAGCGGGCAGCTCACCCCAGGGCCACCCAGAGAAGGGGAGAGACAAGCTGGCCCTACGGGTGGTGGCGCAGAGTATGTCTGCCCCGGCACACAGCTTGGCACAGGGCTTGGCTCGGTAATCCGACAAGCAAACCAAAGAGGTGGAGTTTGGCGGTCAGCTCCTCCCAGCCACCAGGTAAGTCACCTAGCGCCTGGATAAGGCAGGCCCCCAGGGAAGGCCACTTCCTGGCTCCTGGCAGGGGCCCCTCCCACCCAGAAGTACCTTCACACTGGCGTAGTCGGCGGCACTGATTTTGTCGGTGCAGATGGGGGCCACCGGCACATAGCCCCGGAGCTGGGAGCCGGGGGCTGTGAGGAAGGGCAGGGAGTACATGCCACTCATGGATGGACTGATCACCACCGGGGGGCCCAGGGCCAAGGCCTCCACCAGAGCTGCCAGGAAACCTGCAGGGACCAGCTCCCCGAGAGGGGCAGGGGCTGCTGCTTCCTTGGAGCGCCCCAGGCCTGCAGGAGACAGAAGACACGGGCAGTGAGTGGGAACACCAGGGAGAGTGGGTCCCTTCCTCCAGGAAGGCTCCTGGGTCAGCCCCTCTGTGCCCAGGTTCCTGGCCTGCCTGCCTCCAGCTTTGTGCCCATCTCCTCCAGGCCCACCAGTGTCCCGGGACGAAGGGGGTGCTGGGGTCTAGGGGCGGGTCCACGTCCCAGGGCTGCAGCTCCTGTCTAGGTGGCCCTGATAGGTGCCCCCAGTCTCCCTCAGCTGCTCACTTTCCCCATCTGTCAAGCAGGGATGACAAGTGTGTACCACGAGCGACTGCTGTGGTACAGCAAGTCGACAAGCAAGGTCGGCTGTGTCAAGGGCAGGTGGTCCTGAACTGGCCCTAGGTGGGTTCCTTGAAGACAGTGGCTGGGGGCAGGTCACGCACCCCCACCTGCCCTTTCAGTCACTCCCCACTTTGACAACAAGCAGCTGAAGATCTTTACCCTGAAGCTCAGCCCAACCCACCGTGGGAACCAATCCTGGCCTGGCTGGAGGCCTTGAACCCTTACCAGCCCTAGCCAGGAGGGGGCGGGGCGGAGCAGACCCACTGCTTGCTCCATGCTTGGCACCAAGGGCTGGGGCAGGGCAGTCCCGGGGCTGCCCCACCTTCCCCAGAGCCCGGCCCTGGACTTTGCACCCAAAATCAGGACGAGGGTCCTAGCCCACCACCAGGCAGAGCCCTGGCCTGCTCGCAACGTGCCAGGACACACCTCAGCCCTCAGGGCTTCCAACAACCTGTGGTTAGCAGTCAAAATATTTGACTTCCAGGCAGCCAGCATTGTGGCACCGTGGGCTAAACTGCCTCTTGCAATGCTGGCATCCCATTCTGGAGCACCGGCTGGAGCCCCAGCCACGCTGCTTCCAATCCAGCTCCTTGCTAATGTGCCTTGGAAGGCAGCGGAGGACGGCCCAAAGGCTTGGGCCCCTGCCACCCAGAGTTCCTGGCTCCAGGCTTCAGCCTGGCCCAGCCCCAGCCAGCTGTTGCAACCATTTGAGTGGTGAAAAGCGGTTGGAAGGGCAATTGATCTCTCTCCCCACACCCCCCCCATCACTCTGCTTTTCAAATAAAATAAATCTTAAAAAAAAAAAAAAAACTGACTTCCAATTGGATAAGCACCAATTTCTATGTGTCAGGTGCTAGCCATACATTCACGTGGGCAATCTCATCCACCCCCAAACACAAGCATGGTGAGTTTCCATTCCAGACAAGGAAACAGAAGCTCAAGAGATTGGGACACTGGCCCAGATCACAGTGAGGAGCCGCTGGGCAGTGTCCAGGCAACACCTGGGTCAGAATGGCCTTGCAATGGGCATCAAACTCCGAGCCCAGCCTGGCTAGGCCCTCACAGTCGCACGGCACCAGACCTGCCTCCCGATGAGGCAGACCCCACACACCCACACACCCACCCACCCATTCTTGCCTAGAAGTACCTGGGAGGTCAACGGCCACGGCCCGGTAGCCGGCCTGGGCCAGCCTGCGCAGCGTACCCAGGTTCTGCCAGGTCTCGGAGGAGAAGCGGATACCATGCAACAGCAGCACAGAGAAGCGAGCGGCCTGCCCGCCGCCCGGCCGTGCCTCCCGGAAGAAGAGGCTGAGGCCCTGCACCTGGACGGTGCCCTCCTGCTGCTCGGTGTCCACCATGCCCGCGGCCGCTACGCTGGTGATGCACCTGTGGTTCAAAGCCGGCCCGATGAGGGGCCACAGAACATCCCGCGCAGGGGGAGCGGGGAGTGGCAAGGAGACCTCCGGGAAGCTTCCAGAACTCCAGAAACGTGCTTTCAAGTCAGGACAACCTCTTCCTTCTGCCCCTGCCATGCACTTAATTGTGTTGGCCTCAACTTCCGCATCTAAACTATGGGGACAATAAAACCTACCTCAAGGATTAGGAGCTTAAGGGAGGGTACCTGCCAGTGCCAAGAACTCAGCACCTGGGGCTTCCATTACCGCTGCTATTCTGTTCTCCTTTTCCACAAAACGGGATTATTCGCGAGGACTAGCTCACGGGTGGTTGATGGGATTAAATGAGGCCACGCGTGGAAAACACTCGGCGCGGGACCTGCACACAGGCAATGCACGTACTATCCCTGCTACGCTCATCACCCCCCTCTTCCCCGCGCACTGCCACAGGTCTCGAGCCCGCACCGCAAGCCGGGAGTGGGGGGGAGGAAAGAGCCCATTTTCCGGAGGCGGAAACCGCAGCGTCCAGTGGCAAGGGCTTTGGAGTTAGGCCTACAGGGGCGCAGGGTGCTCAAGGCGGAGGCGCCGCGGTCAGACGCGCGGACCCCGGCGCCGCCACGTCTCGTCCCCTCCCCTCGGAGGACCCCCGTTCCAGCTCTCTAGGTCTGGAAGGGCGCACAGGGAAGGGATGCGGGCAGCCCCGAAGGTGGAGGCCTGGGGAGCCGAGAAGGGAAGACCTGGGGTGGGTGGGGGGTGGGTTCTAGCTGGAGAGGGGAAGAGAGGGTCGTGCGCGCAGGGCGCGTACCTGGGGAGCTGCGTGGCGTCGCGCAGACCGGAGGCGGGCGAGTGCTGGCCGGGCCTGGGGCCCCTGGAGAGACGCCGGGAAGCGGCCCACTGGGGGCGGGGGCGAGGGCCGGCCCGTGCTCCGGGGCGCCCTCCTGTGGCCAAAAGCTGCTGCAGGGTCCGTCCGAGCCGCTCACGCCCCTCCGGGCTCTCCCGGTTCTCAAAGCGACCTCAAGTGTCCCAAGCGCCAGGCTGGGTGACATCCGAAACTCTCAGCGAAGCGACCTGCCTCATACGGACACGGTGCAGCTCTAGGAGGACGGATTTTTCAGAGCTGAATCCCTGCGGCTCCCTTCTTGATCCCCCCTCCCACCTCTTTACCCCCGCCAGGAGTGCCCAGCCCAGAGCTGAGCTCCCCGCCCCCGCCCCACTAGGCAGGTGTCCTTGGTCCTTTTCCCAACGCCTCCAAGTCCGTTGCCTCGCCTGTAGACCGCGTCTGATGCGTCTGTCTACCTCTGCAGGATACCAATAAGGAGCGGACCCTGTGCGCTCCGCCCAGCCTCCCCGCGCCCGGCTCGGCAGCCACGTGGAGCCCAGAGCCTGGGCCGGGCCACACGGTCACGCATCGCCAACCAGGCCGGCCCAGACCCCGACCGTGTGTGTGTGTGCGTGTGCAGGGGTCAGAGAAGCGGTGGGGCTGCGACACGGTAATATCTGGCGTTTCCACCACGAGCCTTCTGCATGGCCAGTCTTCAGGGACTGGCCCGCCCCTCAAGTCCTAAAGACACCACTTTCCGGGAGGACTGGGGGCGGGGGGCGGTCTCACCCTCAACCCCATTGCACAAACAGACACCTGAGCGACAGTGAAAATGTCCCGGCTGAGTGGCTTTCCGCCCGCTCTCCGGCCAGAAACAATTGGGAAAATCGGGACGGCGGGGCGGGTCCGTGCAGAGCGGGGACTGCCTGCAAACGCGGCGCCGGCGGACTGCGCAGGCGCGCCTCGGTGGCCGCGCTGGCGGCCGCTGGCCACCGCTCAGCCCGCGGAGCGGCCAGGGCCGCGTCAGGGCCCGCTGCTGTTCCGCGGCTGGCTCCGCCTGGGCGGAGCCCACCCAGCTGCGGCCCATCCCGGCGGGCCCGGTGAGTGTCCCCGGGGAGGGAGACTCGACGGCTGCCCGCGGCGGACAGCTGTTGCCCCCCCTCCTTGCCCCACCGGTTGCGGAGCGAGTTCTACGGAAGGGGCCGGCGCTGCGTGGAAAGTGTGCACATGCGCGGGAATCGGTGCGTACCCGTGTGTCTGTGCGTGTGTCGGGAATCCTGCGCACACCTGTGCGTCTCTGTGTGTCAGTGTCTGCCTGTCTGCGGGTTCGTGTGTGTAGAGTTCTGTGCGACTGTGCTTGAATTATTTGAAGGTCTTCGTGTTGTTTTGAAAGCCTGGGTCCGTCTGCCTGTCTTCCTGATGCCTGACGGTGCACGTGACCTTAACGGTGCTATTGCAAGGAACTGTTTGCCCAAGGGCCAGTGGATGTGCAAGGAGGCTGCGTGTGCACGCAGGGAAGCATGTGCAAAAGGAAAGCTTGTAGGGGCAAGACTCAATGTCTGTGCGTGCGTGGGCACAGCTGTGTGTCATTAACGATGTGTACTGCGGTGACCTGAGGTGGGCACAGGTCACTTCCCACCCCACCTCTGCAGGTTGAGCTGACCTAGCCGCCTACTGTAGGCTTCCCGCCATTGCCCAGTGTGGTTGCACCCTGGGTTGCCAAGGCAACAGCGGAACACTTCCCCACCCTCTTGAGGCTCCCCTGGGTATTGGAAGCACCCACCAATCCCCTGCTGTTCATGGTCATGAACTAGAGAGGGTTCATGATCATCGTCCCCCCTCCCCACCAGCTCCTGCTTTCGCCCCAGAGGGGGCTGCCAGTGCCCACATACTGCTCGGATGGATCCCCCGCTGCTGAGCCTGTACCCAGTTGGCGCTCCATGAAAAAAAGTGTTCATGGGAATCCTGGACCAAGACAGATGTGTACATCCTAGGCCCAGGAAGTGAGGACCGGACCAGCCCTTGGTCAGGACCACTGCATTATTTAAATACCACAAGAGGCTTGGGAGGGCAGCCATGAGGTTATCCTGATGTACTGACAAACCAGACACAGCAAGGACAGGTCTCAAAGCCAGGGCTACCAGCCCTGTTAGGGTCCTGGGTCTTTTTTTTATTATTATTTTAAGATTTATTTATTTATTTGGAATTAAGTTAGAGAGAGAGAGAGATCTTCCATCCCCTGATTCACTCCCCAAATGGCCACATCTGCTGAGGTTGGGCCAGGTGGAAGCCAGGAGCTAGGAGCTTCTTCTAGGTCTCCAGGGTGCAGGAGCCCAAGCACTTGAGCCATTTCATTTCCACTGCCTTTCCAGACCATCAGCAGGGAGCTGGATCAGAAACGGAGCAGCCAGGACTCAAACTGGTGCCCATGTGGGACGCCGGTGTCACGGCTGGCAGCGGCTTAACCTGCTGCACCACAGCATCAGCCCCTGGGTCCTGCACCTTGAGATCTGTCCTTTGGTCCGGCGGAGGCCTTGGACTGTAGGAATCTGTGCAGCTGGGGTGTGTGTTGGGGGCGTGGTAATCCGTGCCTCCCACCTGTGTGCCGCCCTTCTCCTATCTAGGTGTGCCACGCTCTCCCCTGGCCGTAGCACTGCCTCCATCACGGACATTCTCAGCGGCCTCTTAATGATTGCTGGCCCAGACCAACCCTTCTCACCCACTGCAAAGCACACTCTTTCTGTCTTGTGTGCAGTGGGATAAGAATCCTATCCACACATGCGCTCATGAGGAGGCCATTCATTGTGTGGGCTTGTTCCTTTCATGGCCCTCACCCTCCCTCCACCTGCAAGGCCCCAGCTCAGCCCCAGGGAGTCGCCCAGTGTGGCCTGGTAATTAGCAGCCCAGCCCTGGGGTCAAATCGCAGTTTCCCTATTTGCAGCTCTGCACTGTGGCCAAGAGAATTTATGTCTCCGGGTCTCAGTTTCCTCGTCTGTCAGAGACCCGTACTCATAGCTGCTCCCCGGTATTCTCTGGGGATCTGCAAAGGGCCGAGCGGAGGGCTCGCTGAATGGAAGTGTGGTTTTGCCCTGCACGGTGATGAGCGTGGTCGCTGAGCACGGTCTGTGCGGGGGCCATCTCAGATGCCTGTCCTCACGCTCCAGGGTATCTGAGCCTCTGCCTTGATGTGTGGAGGCGCTGGGTGCGAATCCTGGCAGGGGAGTGGGCAGGGGCTGGAGCTCCTCCGCCGGGGCCTTCTGGACGGGGCCCAGGGGACATTGTGGGGCTCAGCCTCGGTCTCTTCCTTCTCCTGTCTTCTTGCAGGCTATGGTACAGATATCCATGAGCCGGTCCCAGGGAGCCCTGCTGGGCCTGGGCCTGCTGCTCACGCTGCTGCTGTACGTGGGGCTGCCAGGCCCCCCGGAGCAGACTTCTTGGCTCGGGGGACAACCCAACGTCACAGTCCTGGCTGGCCTCACCCCTGGCAGCTCCCCCATCTTTTACCGTGAGGTGCTCCCACTCCATCGAGCACACAGGTGGGTGCGGACCCAAGGCCCAAGGGGAGACCCAACGCGGGGTGCTTGGAGCCTGGGAGGGCAGTGGGAAGGAGACAGCGGGCTGCCTCCCAGCCCCGGGACACATGCAGCGCCCTGTGTGCCTGCAGGGTGGACGTGGTGCTGCTCCACGGGAAGGCCTTCAGCTCCCGCACGTGGGAGCAGCTGGGCACCCTGCAGCTGCTGTCGCAGAGGGGCTACCGGGCCGTGGCCATTGACCTTCCAGGTGAGCATCCCTAGCCTGGATCCAGACAGGCAGGAGGCGGCAGGTGCAGCAGCTCCGCAGAAGTGGGGACTGGAGGGGTGGGGAAGCTCTAAGGTGTGACGGGGGGCACCGGGACCCCAGTGTCTGGACAAGCAATGGCAGGTCACAACACCCCAAAACACTCTTACTTCTGCCTTGGAAACTCCAGTGTGAAATGCACGTCACGTAGCAAATGGAAACGAGGCTCACTCCACCAGCAGTCGTGTGGGGGCTCTCACTGTGCCTTCTATGACAAACGATGGCGTGTCGTTCATCTCACTACACAGATGATTTGTGCTATCGTCATTATTAAAAAAAAAAAAAAAAAAAAAAAAAAAAAAAGCAAAAGCCAGTGAAGCCCTCTGAGACCAGAGCCACGTTCCTCTCCCTCTCTGAGCAGACTGGGGGGAGGGGGTGCCAGTCCCTATACCGGTCACTGCCACACAGATGCAAGCCACGTGCAGGACATGTGCTGGGGTTCATAAGCATAACTGGCCTCCTGCTGCCAAGTCCACCTCTCCCCACACCCTGTCTCGTGAACCAAGCCAGTCCCTGCAGAACTCCCAGCGTGTCATTAACCATGCAGTGTGTGCCACAGGAAAGATGGACACATGGTAGTCGGCCATCTCTACTGGTTTCCTCAGAATCCAATGAAATGACTATTAAAAAAAAAGGCACAGGTGGCGTGGCGTTGTGGCACAGTGAGTGAAGCCACCTTTTGCAATACTGGCATCACATATCGGAGCACTGGTTTGAGTCCCAGCTGCTCTGCTTCTGACCCAGCTCCCTGCTAATGTGTCCCGGAAAGCAGCAGCAGGTGGCCCAGGCACATGTAGGCCCCTGCAACCCACATGGGAGACCCAGATGGAGTTCTTGGCTCCTGGCTTTGGCCTGGCCCAGCTTCAGCCATTGTGACCATCTGGGGAGTGAACCAGCAGATGAAACATCTCTTTATCTTCCCCACTTTGTCTCCGTCACTCTATCTTTCAAATAAGTAGTGAGTTCTGTCTGTTGTTGCTAAAGAAAAGCTCAAGTAAGGTAGCTCCGTCTTTGGACGTGCCTCTTTGAGTATGCAGGCACTCATTTCTCTTGGGCAGCTACTGAGGACAACTGATGGGTCAAAAGATACACATCTCGGGGTTGGCATTGTGGTATAGCAGGTAAAGCCACCACCTGCAACTCTAGAATCCCATACGGGCACTGGTTTATATATATTTATATAAACTCTGCCATCAAATAAATAAAGTACCCATCTTAAGATTCTTCCAGGCCAGCGCTGCGGCTCACTAGGCTAATCCTCCGCCTTGCGGCGCCGGCACACCGGGTTCTAGTCCC